TCAGGTACACACATGAAACATAACACAGGGCCATCAATGCCATTATCGTACTGCTGGAATCCACTCGTACGACTACGTGTCGTACGAAAGGAAAAGCACAATGTACGACAGCACGGACTCGACTTGTCCGTATACATATATGCTTTTGCCTTCCTAATTTACTTGGCTTTAGTTTTCCTCTTGGGGCCTCCATTACCTCTGATTGCTGGTACAGCGCCGGGCCGGTGGGTGCCCGGGCATTGTACGACACCGGGCTGGCCTGAGGCAACCCGGCCTTCGTCAGCGCCGCCAAGCCCGTCGTCTGTCCGCTGACGTCACCTCCTACGGCTAGTGCCGCGGAGGGGGCCAACACGGAGGACACGAACAGAAAGTGCCTGGCGGGGGGAGAGGCCCCGGGGGGTGGGGGGGTTTGGGGGGTTTGGGGGGTTTGGGCGGCAGCAAAGTTTGGGTTTCGTGGTCAGAGAGCATTTGCGGGACGTATCACATATCAGACAACATGTACAGGAGACCTATATTGCCGTACAGGGCACGTGTAACGGATTTGAGAATTGGATAATACAGACGAACAGATGGAGGCCACCCTCCCAAGCAGGGTGGCCATGTGAGTATGCCGGCTCAAGGTCGCATGTCGACTATTCAATTCTTCTTCAAAGCTCCAACAACTCCGAATGAAAACTGCAAGACGCACACGCAACGCAAACCGCCTCAACCGCCCCAACCGCCCCAACCGCCCCAACCACCGCAACCTCCCACCTGACCACCTCCACCACCAGGCTCGCCACCGTCACCCCCTTCTCCAGCGCCGAGTGCCCCGCAAGTCCGGGCGGGTAATGTACGGCAGCGCCGTGAAGCACCTCCCACTGACCCGGCAAGCCCCACAGGGCTTCCAACCGAACTGAAGAAGAAGAAGAAGTAGGAGTAGCGGGGGCGGCGGCAGCAGCAGCGGCAGCGCCGGGGGCGGGTGAAGCGGCTCGGGAGCCTGCCGCCGCCACCGCAGCGGAGCCCGACGACGGCGGCTGTACGAACCCAATGGCGTACGGCAGTCCGACGGCGGGGGACGCCGGCGACCAGTCCATGTGATCTGGGTCGTTCTTTTTGTCCGCCAACTGAAACATAATGCCCTGGGTGTGCAGGTCGTAAAATTACCGTTAGCTGTTATTCGTTAGCTGTGAAGTCTCCTTGAACAAGTCTTAATTGAGTGGTTAATCACCCTATTTAAGGCACCAGAAAGAGTCATGTCGTACGCTGCCGTACCATATTAGCCCACCGTACAATCACACGGTCATTGAACCAAACGAAACGCGCCTCCGGCCCCGTGCTTTGTTTTCCCGCTGGGGTTTGATATTACCTTATATAACAGATATATATATATATATTATATAATATATATACCTTATATATATATAAGGTATATCACTCTAAAGCGCCCCTTCCCCGAAATCTCAATGCCTTTGGCTCCTATACCCCCCCCATACCCAATTCCCTGCAGCTCCTTCAGCGTCTGGCCTTTCCTCCTCCTTACCCTCCCCCCTCCCATCCACCTCCCCCCAACCCCCCCCCCAAACCCCACCTCACCTGCCACAACGGGCCGTACTCCAGCACTGCCGCCCTCAGCGCCACCTGCCCCTCAGGACCCTGAAACAGCGGCCCCAGGTCCTCCCGCCGTACACTCAGCAGCTGACCGTCGGCGTCGTACTGCAGCCCCCAATTGTGACCGGAACCGCCTGAGAGCACGGGTGGGCACGGAAGGGAGGGCAGGGTAGGGAGGGGGGAGGCAGGAAGGGGGAAATGAATGCGGGCGAATGGGCTTTAGCGGGAACTGGGGATGGAGATGGGGCAGGTGGAGAGAGTGAGGGAAGGAAGGGAGCATTTGCTACACTGCGGACGCAGCGGCTGTAGCCACACCGCCGCAAACAGTACGGATTGAGCCAAACGATCCCCGCGAACTCGAGTCATCCGCTTCGTAATGGCACAGGATTACATCACAGACGGCTCTGGTAGTCCATTTACCCCCTCCTCTCTCCCCCCCCACACCACACACACACACGCACATACCGCATCTCCCCCCCCAACCCCCCCCACCCTCACCGGTACCCCCCAGCAGCAACACCGCCAGCTCCCGCACCACCGCCGCCATCTGAACGCGACTGGCAGCCGGCAGCAGCTCAGACAGGAGGGCAGCCGAGTAGTGGGCCTCGGTTTCGGAGCGAACGGCCGCTTCGGCCTCCGGACCGCCGTTGCCACTGCCCTTGACACGGAGGAGCCCCTGGACGTAGCTGCGTCGGGCCTGGGGGGTGGGGGGTGGGGGGGAAGAGGCGGTTGTATGATGTGTGAAACAGGGGGGTGTATCTTCGCCCGTGGCAGCTACCCTGCGAAACCCTGCCTTCCCCGGTATTTCGGGGCACCCTCATCCAGTCACCCTAGTCAACTTCTCAGTGGATCGCTCAGGTTCCGCACCCACCACCAGCATCCAACGGAATCTGCCGGGTCGACAGCGGCCCAACTCCATTCCTGGTCGGCTCGCAGGTTAACTTTATCCCAGGTCACCACCGTCCATCAACTAGGGGCGCAATGCCTTCCACCATCGGAAGGACTTTTGACCCTAATGGGTATCGATCCCGGGATCTCCCGGGGGCAATGGTCGCGCATTACCAGTAGTGCCAAACCCTTGTATGAATGGGCGCGCGCGCGTGTGTGTGCGTGTGTGTGTGTGTGCGCGCGTGTGCGCGCGTGTGTGTGTGTGTGTGTGTGTGTCTGTGTGTGTCTGTGTGTGTCTGTGTGTGTCTGTGTGTGTGTGTGTGTGTGTGTCTGTGTGTGTTTTGGGGGTTTGGGGGGAAGTTCCGAGGGGAAAGGGGATCGCGCCAAGGAGAAGGACTAGAAAGGAGCGCCGATAACAAACAAAGCATAATACAAACACATACACACCACATACATATACACACACATAAACAAACAAGCACACACACATACATACATACATACATATTTTCTTCGGTTTTACCTGGACTCGAAGCCGCATCTTAACCTCGTTTATGTCCAAGTAGAGCGCACCCGCGGCTGCTGTGAGGGCGCGGCGACGTTGACGAAGATTCTCCAACGCGGCGGCGTCTAGCGCCTCTGCGAGTGCGGGGTTGGGTTGAGGTGGCGACGACGATGCGGGAAATTGAGGCGGCTGCTGCTGCTGCTGCTGCTGCTGCTGCGAATATGGCCGCGACTGCTGGAATTGAGATTGGGTTGTCTGTTGGGGTTGCTGGGCCCAGGGCGAGGGCGAGGGCGAGGGTGAGGGTGGCGGCTGAGGGGACCGGGGAGGCGACGGGGAGGAGGCGCCGAAGCGGCGCATCCAGGCACGAGCCGAGTTGCTGCTGCGGCTGGGGGAAGGGAGGGCGGGGGGGAGGAGGGTCAAGGAGGAGGGACGCAGGCTTTCTGCGGAGACAGACAGACAGACAGACAGACAGACAGACAGACAGACGGACAGGCAGGCGCCTAATACACACCGTTGCTTGGTGTATTCCTCCAATCGATCACCCGGCGGATCACGAAGCAGCGGAGGTACCCCCGTACGACGATCACCCGCCTCCGCCGACCCAGCGCCGCGTCCCCCTTGCCGTACATCCGACGGCGGTGGCGGCGGCGGCGACAGCGGGTGGTGTGCTGGTGCGTAAGCCCCCGGGGGCCCGCCCACCACCACATCCATGGCCTGGGGAAGGGAGGGCCACGTGGGTACGTGTACGACACTTAGGCCGTACGATCGTACAGTTTCGGCAGTTTCCGCACCCTCTTCGCAAACCACTCATTTACCCGACCCACATACAAACATACATACATACATATACATACATATTGCCGCACACAGCATCACATAACAAAACGGGGTTCGGAAACTGAATCTAAATCCAAAGACGCACACGGGACTTCCCCGCAACAAAACACCCACATCCTCCAAACCCCCCGTCCCTTTCCCCCCCCACACACACGCACACGTATATACATACACACACACGCACCTCACTGTCCGCCACACCCTCCAATGCAGCTGCCCTCCACATCAGCACACGCCTACGTCGGTCCAGTTTCCGAATGATGCCATCCAGGAGAATCTGTGGGGGGCAGGGAGGAAGAAGAGGAGCAGGAGGAGGAGAGCTGACGGGTTGGGGTGAAACAGGGGAGAAAGAAAGGTATACCAGACCACAAACACAAACACACACACGTGCCCACGCGCATGCGCACAA